AGAGTGGGGTGGAAACAGATGATTCGCGGTGGCGACCCCTAACGGGAACAGCCAAAAGAAGAAGAAGAGCTGATGCGATGCTGTCACAGAATGGGGCTGACATTCATGCTGGGGTTTGGTCACCGAGGATCAGGATGCGCTTGTCAAGCAAAGCCAACTGAATAATCATGTCTGATGCAGAGAAGGCTGCAGGTAGACATATGGCCTGGGGGTTTGGAAGGAGCCGATGGAGAGGATTGAGCCGGGTGGTGAGAGCGCTGAGACAGTGGCACACAACTGAGTTACCTTCTCCAAGTTGCCTCTAATTCACCTGCAGCTTTGAAAATGGTTAGATGGGATAGAGGAGAGGGAGTTGGAGCAGAGAAAGAAGGGAGTGGGATAATTGATTGGATTAGTAGAAGATGTATTCCAAATACTGTGTAAAGAAAAATCAGAAAAGACAGCACTAGCAAATGAAAGATGTGGAGTCTGATACACAGAGAGACAAAGATATGTTTTAAGTTTCGCCAAGTTATGTCTGGATGAAGTGAAAAATGGAGCAAAAGACTTTCTGCAGTGAAATCACCACCCCGTCGCCTTCATATATTCATTATTTCAGTCAGTTCTATCTTTAAAATGCCAACATGGCTTCTTTGCCACAGAGGCCAGCTGCTGGGCTTTTCCTCTGGTAGAGCTGAGCTCAAACACAGAGGCTGTGACAGAAAAGTGGATGCACTTAAATCCTTCCTAATACTTGAAAATCTGGCCAGGAGCAATAAGGGATTGCGGCAACACTCAGCCAGCTGCTAAATTGTTGTGCTTAAGTAGCTAAACCACAAACACCCACAGCTGTTGAATTTCTAACAGTCTGCTCCTGTTTCTCTGGCCGGGTACAGGAAAGTAGCTTGTGACCCAATTAATGTTCATGTCAACAACTGTTAGGGTTTCAGGCTGGGTAGGACCCAAAGTGCAGACAAACTCTGGTTCTAATAAGTCTTTATTCAAAATAAGGAACAAAGGTACTGGGTGCGCTACCTGACAGGGCAGAACTAATAATTAACAGAATCGTCAGGGAGCCAAAAAACTAAAGTCAGGTAAACTCAGAACAGGAACGACAAAGATAACTGAATCGACAGCCAAGGCGGCGTAAAAGTCTAAACTGTATCCAAAAAACAGAAAGGGAAGGCAAGGAAATAAACCAGGTGTGGCATGGAGCACAGGAGTCGATGAAGGTGAGACAGGAATCCACAAACAGGCAACAGGGTGAGATACACAGATGACAGGAGCAAACAAGGCATGGAGACCAGATGAACCAGCAAAGAAAGGCGGATATATAGACAGGAGACCGGGGGTAACGAGCAGCAGGTGGAAGTGATGAACAGTAATTGTGCACTGGGGTAGGTGAGGCGACACAAGACCAGGAAATTAAAACAAAATAAAAGCACCACAGTGTGTGGGTGGGTGTGTGTGTGGGTGGGTGTTCGTTCGTTCGTTTGTGTGGTTACCCAGGTTGGTTCCTTTGTTCCTAAATAGAATGGAGCTTCTGTAATAATGACTTTGCATTTCTTTGTTTTTCCTTTGTGTTATTATTAGTTTCAATATATTCCACTTGTTTTCTTATAAGTTTGTGTGGACTCCCTCCCTGTCACATTCTCTGAGCCAGGTTGGGACATTAGTGATGGGTGTCTGTACATTGCAAACAGGAGCTACTGACAGCTAATTCGACATACTTGTAATGGTGCCATTTCGGTACCAGACCATGAAAACTCCTGTTCTGCACTAACTGTCTACAATCCCACACCTGCCTTTCCACAGTGACGTTCAGGAAGTAGCCAGCACTGAGGCTCATGATGCTACAGCAGCTCCCTCAGGCTCTTTGTCAGCCCCTGAAGCAGCCCCCTCCTCCTCATCTGCCCAAGCTGCTCCCTCCTCTCCTGGGGCAGTCGAGGAAGCCCTGTCCAGCCCTAAGCTGGTGGTAGTGGAGGCGGACAATGCTAGCCAGGTGTCTGGCTCGGGGTGTACCAGCCAGGCTTCAGTAGACGATGACGATGACGTGCCAATCACAGATATCTACTTCGTAAGCAAAACCCCATACACACACAAACGCATGTCCACATGTACACACACACATATCCTCACATATGTATATGCTATTAGATGCTTTTAGAGACTGTTCCTCTGAAGATCAAAGGTAATACATCTCAGACAAGAACTAGCTTTCATCATTTTTCACTTTTTATGAGTTTCACATTTTTGTGTAGCTATTCCCTTATTGCAGTCAAGTCCAGTGTATTTATGTATAGTTGTGAAGTCAATGGTCTTTGCTGTATGATGTTCACCTACAGAGGCGTTGACATGAGGACCACAGAAAGCAGGTGAAGGCCTGAGCTGGTATGGAAACCAGAGTGTGTGCAGTGTTGCTTGCAGTGTGTGGCACATTTAGTTAAAAGAAATTGTTTGACATTTGGGGTAATATACTTATTTGCTTTCTTGCTGACAGTTAAACAAGAAGATTAATACCTGCTTCTCATCTTAATGGTAAGATAAGCTAACCCGCTGCTCACTGTGGAATATTTTTGCATATTCATGTTTATGGTATAGACATGAGAGAGGTATCAGTCTTGTTATCCAGCTCTCAGCAAAAAACCGAATAAGTGTATTTCCTAAATGTCAAACTATTCCTTTAAGTACAGTACACTGCACTCTGGTTTGAAGTGTTCACAGAGTGATAATACCATGTTCTGTCTCATGTTTAATCTACAACAAAGCCACAGATTCACTCAGGAGCACATATTGTGTGAATAACAACTGAAGCTTTTGCAGTTTGTGTGTTCAGTTTACACGGTTGTCTTACTAAAATTGACTGGCTACCATCAGATAGCGTAGTTTTGGCAGGTCTAAATATGTCCAAAAACACAGATATAAATAAATGTATGAGGTGGCACAGTTACAAATAAAAACATTCCCACCTGGCTGCACACCCACTGGGTGTCCCCCTATCAGGAATCAAACACCCTCTAATGTGGCAGACGAAATGGCCAGCAGGTTGGTCAGTCTCTGTTATCTAACAGCCCTTTCATCAGCCTGATGCCCAGGTCAGGCTTTGGAAGGAGGAGATATGCTCTATGCACAGCAGCAGGGGGTCTGCAGAACTACATGAGGCAAAGTGACACTGAGCATGTCATGAAGTGTAACAACACAGAAACAGTGCGGTCACAGGTCGCCCCCAGTAACTATATGGGTTAGACCAAGTCTGTTATGAACGCAATGCCAAATATTCATACTTCACTGTGAAAACCACACTCATATAAACTGTCAGCTTCTTTACTACTATACTCAGGGGGAGGAGAGGAGAGGAGAGAAACTCAGAGCATCATGGGCCCCCCCAGCAGCCTAGGCCTATAGCAGCATAACTAAGGGAAGGCTCAGGGTCACCTGATCCAGCCCTAACTATGGAGCTGGTTCCATAGGAGCTTGATAGAGGAGCTTGATAGCTAAAGGCTCTGCCTCCCATTCTGCTTCTGTGGACTCTAGGAACCACAAGTAGACCTGCACTCTGAGAGCGAAGTGTTCTGTTAGGATGATAAGGCTCTACGAGGTCTTTAAGATACGATGGAGCCTTGTCATTAAGGGATTTGTATGTTAGGAGAAGGATTTTAAATTCTATTCTGAATTTTACAGGGAGCCAGTGGAGAGAAGCTAATATAGGAGAAATATGATCTCTCTTGCTAGTTCCTGTCAGTACTCTGGCTGCAGCATTTTGGATTAACTGGA